GTGGTCAAGACCAGGCCCTCGGAGGGACGGGGCTGGCTGAGTGATCGTCCGGCGGCCGCGTGGCGATTTGTGACGCGTCCTTTCGTGTGTTCTCCGTTCAGGGATTCTCTACTCGCAAGACTCTCAAACCTTCGAGAGGCGAGTTATTTACAGAAAAAATTGGGAAAAAGCAGTTGAGAATGATGGAAACTGCTTTTAACTTTCCTATTCTCTATATTATGGATTATGCCTTCCTCAGTATCCGAAGTGCTTCTCTTGATACTTAGTTTAGTAAATTTAATATATCGGGGCTGACGTTATACAGTTTGAGGAATTGTTTTAGATGGAGAAAAAAATATATAGCTAAGGATTTAAAGGAAATTCAGAAACGTTTCTAATTTCCTTTTATATTATAAAATTATACAAAATCTATAAACTGCTTCTTTATGTAAGAAACATATTCATTGTAGAAAATATATTGTAGAAAATAAATACCCCTTCATGCTTCCCCCTATAAACCTTTTCTAGGCATATTTCTCTTTTACAAAAATGGAGTCATAGTCATATTGATTGTAAACTCTTAAATTGAATAACTATATACAATTTTTATTTGTCAATTTAAAAACAAAATCTGTTAACCTTTCAGAAGCATGATTAGACAAATGTTTTTAAAAATCAATTTATTAAAAATTTCATTTACATCCTTTGAAGTAGAAGCTTATCCCTTATACACAACCAAGGACAGAAGCTCTCACGTGTTTACAAAAGTATATTGTATCACAAATAGCTGGAGATTTTTTTTTTTTGTTTTAAAAAATTAATCATTGTGCTCAACACAGTCATCATTCATGTGAAGCAATAAACGAATACCACCTATGAGAACAAACAGAAGCTGTATATTCAGCACTTGTCATAACAAGGGAGACAATTCAAAGTCAGGGGAAAGGGAAGGCTTTAGTAGGAAAAAGGGGAAACTTTGGGTATGTCTTGATTGGAGATTGATGTCATAGAGAAGCTGGAGAAGAGATAACCAGAAAGGGAGCACCTTATGTGACTGGTTTGGGGAGCATATTTGGCATCTCTGGTTTGTCCTGGGTTGGAAGTAGAGGCAAAAATAAAGAAGTTGTTCACTGTTGAGTAAGTCCTGACTGTTCTGAGCTGGTCTCTGCAGATAGTACGTTTTTTTCTTCTGTGTGTCAGAGTTCTGTTGCCATATAGTCTGGCCATTGTCTGTTTGTTTACTCTGTCTATCACAAGAAATCTAAGTTATTCTAACTCGTGGGTTTTGTGGTTGCCCTTGGGTCACAGCTCCCTAAGATTGCATACAGTGGAAAAACCTGCCACTGCATTGAGATCCGCGCTTTGAGCAACAGCCTGACAGCAGGCTGAGTGGCAGGTGCTGCTCTAAAGAGTGGCATCACCTTTGTTTCTTGGAACGTGAGACAAATGCGATGGAGAAAATGCGGATCCTTTTCATACCAACTGTGCCCAAAATCTAAAATTAAACTAAGAAATATCTAAATTCAAGAGAAGTATGGGAGAAGGCCATTAAGCAAGAGAGTGGAAGATATGATTGCTCCAATTTATGAAATCTATTTATACATAATCTCTTAAATAATGGATTATAGAAATGTGGTATTGCTAGCCATTTTGTTCCTTTTCCTACTCTTCTATTTCCATTTCCTTGCAAAATAATTTTGATGGGTGATAATTTTTAAAATGGTCACATTTTAGTCAGGCATCCAAGCCTTAGCTCTGCCTTTGATAAAATGCAGTTGGCAGAAATTCCTGATTCCTATTTAAAATGCAGTGTTTGTGAAAGTACATTCTCATGTATATCTGTGTAGATTTCTTTTGCTCACTATTAAAATGGTATAATTCTTTACCCAGTCTCTGGAATTTTTAAACCATAGGAGAACTGACAAACTTTGTGTGGTGTAATTCAAGACCCTGACATCAATTAAAACCTCTCCCCAGTATAACAATTCTCTCCCATTTTGTTTAAATTCACTGAGCAAAGAATTGCTGGATAATAAAAAACATTATCTAGGCTGAGCATGGTGGCTCAGACCTGTAATCCCAGCACTTTGGGAGGTCGAGGTGGAAGGATTGCTTGAGGCCAAGAATTGGAGACCAGCCTGGGAAACATAGCGAGACCTCATCTCTATAAAAAAGTAAAAAAAGAATTAGCTGGGCGTGGCGGCACACACTGTAGTCCCAGCTACTCTGGAGGCTGAGGTAGGAGGATCGCTTGAGCCCAGGAGTTTGAGGCTACAGTGAGCTATCATGACACCGCTGCCCTTTAGCCTGGGCGACAGAGTGAAACCATGTCTCAAAACAGAGCATTATTGAGCCAACTGTCCATTCGCAAAATGGCTTGGAACCATTGATAATCATGTGGAAGACAATCTGTTTATGACTCGATGTTCATATGAAACCACTTATGAAATAACTTACTTTTCTGAGTTACTGTAACCTTGCTTTTCCTGTGGAGTTAACCTGTCAGCCAATTCATCAAGTATGTAAATCAATGAACACGAATTAATTAAACCCTCACTTTGTGCTTGTTCTTTCCTGGTGTAGTTTCAGCATTTACTTTTTTTTTCTTTGAGACAGAGTCTCACTGTGTTGCCTGGGCTAGAGTGCTGTGGCGTCATCTTAGCTCACAGCAACCTCAAACTCCTGGGCTCAAGCGATCCTCCTGCCTCAGCCTCCCGAGTAGCTGGGACTACAGGCATGCGCCACCGCACCCGGCCAACTGATACTCTTTATTTCTACCTAAAACCCAACCCATGCTCACCAACTGGATTTGCAGACAGAGATGGAAGAGAAACCATAGCCAAAGATGGCTTGATTCTTCTGGGAATTGTTTATTTCATTAGGTTATTGGTAAGAGCTGGCCCCTAGAAGCTAGTCTCTGGCTACAAACTCCCAACAGCAAGGACCATTTTCTCTGGAGTCCCCCTGAACAGTTTCAGATGTTACCAACCGTGCCATACAGTCTCCTATGTGTAGCCTTCCACTGGTACCACTGTGTATCTAAATTTTGATCAAGTTTTGGAGTAGCTGAGACTATTCCCAAGCAAAAGGCAGCCAGGAAGAGTGAAGGATTCATGTCTCAAAAACCTAGAAAGAGAAAAGAAATGAGGATTTCATAAAGCCAATCCATTTAAAAGGCCATCTTATTCTCTACTGAAAGGTTGCAGCCACCATGATGGACTAGAAAACATTTAAATTATCTTTCCAAGAATAAACACAAGGACTGTGGAAAGGCTGAGGATGTGGGTGGTGAAAAACAGGCCATACCCTTAGGAAAAAAGAAGAGTATGTGATTCAGCCACCAAAATGAAAACCACCCTGACAAGTGCTACAGGAACTGAAACAGACTTCACTGTAATAGTGCAATAATAATTTAGATTTTTATAAGGGTCTCATGGTACCTATAGGTCAAAATATTCCGGCAACAACTAGGAAACATGGAACGATTGGTCCAAGTTATTTACCGACAGTACCGAGGTCGCCCAAGTAAAACCTCACTAATGAGGACGTCTGATCCCGAGCAGGGGCAAAGGGATCCCCAAGAGTTGGGAGGCCACCTCACACCTTCTTGACTAATGCATCGCAGGTGAGATATGTCTTTCAACCTCCCCTTCTCGAATGAAAAATTTCTGGAATGCCTTCCCAGGAGAAACTGGGAAGAAGAGCACCCACTGCTCCGGCGGACCCACGCTTGGGCCCGTGTTGCCAACACTCCTACGCACTCCCCCACACCGGGGACAGGGTCACGTGGCCGCGCCGCTGGAAGCCAGAGTCCCCAGAGCCAGTGCCAGGACAGGAGCAGGCAGGTCCCGAGGCTCCGGGCTAGCTACGGGGACGGGGACGTGCCGCCTGCTCCCGCCCTCTGCACGCGCCTGCTGCGGCCACAGGATGTTTGCGGCGGCCCGGCGTGCGGGGGCGAGCCACTTTGTCTGACCCCGCCGGCCCGGAGACAGCGCGGCCCGGAGGCGGCCCGGCTGCTATACCTGTTCCTTCTGCAGCCCGAAATCTGACTGGCGTACACAACCTGGGAACCCCCCTCACCCCAAGTGGTCTCGGTGCCTCCCTGGGGTCCCCAACCGCCCTTCCCCATTTCCCCACCTCAAGGCTGGCAGAGCTCAGGGCGGACGTTCTCGTTCTCCCTTCTCCACAGGGTTTCTGCATGGGGTCCCTTCCTCCAGTCCCAGCTCCCGCCGCAGCTCCGCCTGGCCGGAGGCGCTCACCTGCGGCGCTCTTAGCTGCGCAGGCGCACTCTGCGGATGCAACTTCAATATTGCTGAGGCGGGGGATCTGGCCCGGGGGAGCCTGACTCCCGCTTTAAGGCCTCAGGCGGCCGGCGCCGCCCCCACAGTCTACCCGCGCTGCTATTGGCTGCGCCTGCAGCTGGGCGGGGCCTCCGGGCTCCCTGACCCAGCACGTGACGCGACCGAGTGCCTAGCTGTCCCGGAGCGGGCGCGCCTGCCTCAGTGGACCCGGGCGTAGGGACGCTGGGCACTTTAGGGCTGCGCAGAGGAGGGTCAAGCTCCTCCCTGGAGGATCAGATCCACTAAGTACCCCGACTTAATGCGCTGGGCGGGTGGTTCATAAAAAGAAGTTAACAGCGAGCCCGGTGTGGATTTTCAGCCTAACCCTGCTTTTCCTTTAGTCCTATAGTTTTTGGTTAAAATATCTTGTAGGGCCGAGAGCTAGTATGCTAGTGGCTCCTGTTTGATCCACAGCAAAGGTGGAGTCGGGTGGAGGAATGCAGAACCCAAGCGCAGAAGCATTATCTCCGCGTTTCTGGTGGGAGGCAGCTGGGTTCTAGAAGAATCTGGTAGGGCAGGGCATCCCCACACGCGTGACGCGGTGGTCAAGACCAGGCCCTCGGAGGGACGGGGCTGGCTGAGTGATCGTCCGGCGGCCGCGTGGCGATTTGTGACGCGTCCTTTCGTGTGCTCTCCGTTCAGGGATTCTCTCCTCGCAAGACTTTCTCAAACCTTCGAGAGGCGAGTTATTTACAGAAAAAATTGGCGAAAAGCAGTTGAGAATGATGGAAACTGCTTTTAACTTTCCTATTCTCTATATTATGGATTATGTCTTCCTCAGTATCCGAAGTGCTTCTCTTGATATTTAGTTTAGTAAATTTAATATATCAGGGCTGACGTTATACAGTTTGAGGAATTGTTTTAGATGGAGAAAAAATATATAGGTAAGGATTTAAAGGAACTTCAGAAACGTTTCTAATTTCCTTTTATATCATAAAATTATACAAACTCTATAAACTGCTTCTTTATGTAAGAAACATATTCATTGTAGAAAATATATTGTAGAAAATAAATACCCCTTCATGCTTCCCCTATAAACCTTTTCTAGGCATATTTCTCTTTTACAAAAATGGAGTCATAGTCATATTGCTTGTAAACTCTTACTTAAAAATTAAATTGAATAAATATATACAATTTTTATTTGTCAATTTAAAAACAAAATCTGTTAACCTTTCAGAAGCATGATTAGACAAATGTTTTTAAAAATCAATTTATTAAAAATTTCATTTACATCCTTTGAAGTAGAAGCTTATCCCTTATACACAACCAAGGACAGAAGCTCTCACGTGTTTACAGAAGTATATTGTATCACAAATAGCTGGAGATTTTTTGTTTTTGTTTTAAAAAATTAATCATTGTGCTCAACACAGTCATCATTCATGTGTAGCAATAAACGAAGACCACCTATGAGAACAAACAGAAGCTGTATATTCAGAACTTGTTATAACAAGGGAGACAATTCAAAGTCAGGGGAAAGGGAAGGCTTTAGTAGGAAAAAGGGGAAACTTTGGGTATGTCTTGATTGGAGATTGATGTCATAGAGAAGCTGGAGAAGAGATAACCAGAAAGGAAGCACCTTATGTGACTGGTTTGGGGAGCATATTTGGCATCTCTGGTTTGTCCTGGGTTGGAAGTAGAGGCAAAAATAAGGAAGTTGTTCACTGTTGAGTAAGTCCTGACTGTTCTGAGCTGGTCTCTGCAGATAGTACGTTTTTTTCTTCTGTGTGTCAGAGTTCTGTTGCCATATAGTCTGGCCATTGTCTGTTTACTCTGTCTATCACAAGAAATCTAAGTTATTCTAACTCGTGGGTTTTGTGGTTGCCCTTGGGTCACGGCTCCCTAAGATTGCATAGAGTGGAAAAACCTGCCACTGCATTAAGATCCACGCTTTGAGCAACAGCCTGACAGCAGGCTGAGTGGCAGGTGCTGCTCTGAAGAATGGCATCACCTTTGTTTCTTGGAACGTGAGACAAATGCGATGGAGAAAATGCGGATCCTTTTCATACCAACTGAGCCCACAGTCTAAAATTAAACCAAGAAATATCTAAATTCAAGAGAAGTATGGGAGAAGGCCATTAAGCAAGAGAGTGGAAGATATGATTGCTCTAATTTATGAAATCTATTTATACATAATCTCTTAAATAATGGATTATAGAAATGTGGTATTGCTAGCCATTTTGTTCCTTTTCCTACTCTTCTATTTCCATTTCCTTGCAAAATAATTTTGATGGGTGATAATTTTTAAAATGGTCACATTTTAGTCAGGCATCCAAGCCTTAGCTCTGCCTTTGATAAAATGCAGTTGGCAGAAATTCCTGATTCCTATTTAAAATGCAGTGTTTGTGAAAGTACATTCTCATGTACATCTGTGTAGATTTCTTTTGCTCACTATTAAAATGGTATAATTCTTTACCCAGTCTCTGGAATTTTTAAACCATAGGAGAACTGACAAACTTTGTGTAGTGTAATTCAAGACCCTGACATCAATTAAAACCTCTCCCCAGTATAACAATTCTCTCCCATTTTGTTTAAATTCACTGAGCCAAGAATTGCTGGATAATAAAAAACATTATCTAGGCCGAGCATGGTGGCTCAGACCTGTAATCCCAGCACTTTGGGAGGTTGAAGTGGAAGGATTTCTTGAGGCCAAGAATTGGAGACCAGCCTGGGAAACATAGCGAGACCTCATCTCTATAAAAAAGTAAAAAAAAAATTAGCCGGGCGTGGCGGCACACGCTGTAGTCCCAGCTACTCTGGAGGCTGAGGCAGGAGGATCGCTTGAGCCCAGGAGTTTGAGGCTACAGTGAGCTATGATGACACCGCTGCACTCTAGCCTGGGCAACAGAGTGAAACCATGTCTCGAAACAGAGCATTATTGAGCCAACTGTCCATTCGCAAAATGGCTTGGAACCATTGATAATCATGTGGAAGACAATCTGTTTATGACTCGATGTTCATATGAAACCACTTATGAAATAACTTACTTTTCTGAGTTACTGTAACCTTGCTTTTCCTGTGGAGTTAACCTGTCAGCCAATTCATCAAGTATGTAAATCAATGAACACGAATTAATTAAACTCTCACTTTGTGCTTGTTCTTTCCTGGTGTAGTTTCAGCATTTACTTTTGCATTCTACGTGTAATTGTCCTAACAGCTTTTCTGAGGTTCAGCCTTTCCATTTTAAAGTATGAGATTAACTATATGAATTTTGACTTTACAGGAGACCCAAAATGTGACAGATTAAAAAAAAAGTGACAGATATATTTAAATGAAATTATGGTGAAGTATTTTTTTGTGCAGTAGGTAGTAAGGGAACCAACCTTGTGGAATTTCTCCCCTCTAAGACTATAATCCACAGACTGTTAGCCGGGTACCAGAAGATGTCTTCCTCAAATCTGAAAAACAGTCTTTTCAAGAAACAAGTATTTGGGGAGGGGGAAAAGGGAGGAGGGGACGGGTATTTGCATACACAAAGAGTGCAATGCGCACCACCTGAAGGATGGACATATTTGAAACTCGGACTTAGGGGAGAAAGCGGGGGGCAAGGACAACATACGTAACCTAAACATCTGTACCCCCATAATATGCTGAAATTAAAAAAAAAAAAGAAACAAGTATTTGTTTCCTATGGTTGCTGTAACAAATTCCCACACACTTGGAGGCTTAAAACAATAGGAATTTATCCTCTCACAGTTATGGAGGTCAGAAGTCCTAAGTCAGCGTCACGGGGCCCAGACAGGTGTTGCCAGGGCTGCACTTCCACCCTCTGGACGCTCTAGTGCAGTCTGTTCTCTGCCTCTTCCAGCTCTGATGGCTACTGCATTCCTTGACTTGTGGCCGCATCTCTCCAATCCCGGGTCACATTATCATTTTCTTCTGTCTGTGTCACATCTCCCTCTGCCTCCCTCTTGTAAAGACACTGTGATTGCATTAAGGTGTACCTAGGCAACCCATCTCAAGATCCTTAATTTAATCACATTTGCAAAGTCTTTGCTGTATAAGATGATAGTTACCAGTTCCAGGAATTAAGACCTGATTCCTTTGGGGCTATGATTCACCCCACTGCACATGGCATAACTAAAATTCAGTTTCTTGACAAGGCTGATCAAAACTTTGTGTGTTTCATAATTTGGGGCTGGCTGGACTAGGACAGCTAGGCCTAAACTCCATGGAGACCTCCCACAATGTGACTTCTTTGCTCCATCTGGGACCCAGATCCCAGCCTCATGTGCCTCACTACAGACGACATTGCCTCCTCACCTCTCCCTAGTGATGTCTGACAGGTTTTGTTTCAAAACCCCCACACGACAGCTTTTTCCCACCTCCCCTTACTCTTTCCACGGCCCCCTGTCTCTACATTACAGGCATTGCTCACCCGCTCCTTTCCGCGCGTAGTTCTGGTTTAGGCTTTGAGCATCTCCCTATTCAATACGCCCCATTAATAAAGTCTTTCCTAACTAAGGTAGGGACTTGCATTTTTTCCCTTGAAACCCAGTATCGTTATGGTAAATGGTAAAGACAGAGAAGACCTTTGTGCTGTTAGGACACCAAGCTTGCATATGTACCTGCCGCGGAGGTTGCTCCAGAGCAAAGACATCTCCATCTGTGAGTGCCTGGTACCCTTGGAAGTTAAAGCATTATTAGACAAGATCCTGGCCACAGTGATGATGGTGGTCATGATGTGAATAACTAAATAACGCTTCGGTGCCAGGCGCTGTTTGAGCATTCTGCACATGTTCCTCACGTAATCTTTATAACAACCCTATGACAGTGGTTCTCAAACTTCACCCTACAGCAGAATCGCCTGGAGGGCTCCTGAAAACTCACATTCCTAAGCCCCGTTCCCCAAGTTTCTGATTCACTAGATCTGGGACAGGGTTCCAGAATTTGCATTTCGAATAAGTTCCCAAGGTGCGCAGATGCCACTGGCTGGAGACCCCACTTTGAGAACCACTGTCCTAGGAGATGGTGCTCTCATATGCCCCGTTGTACAG